GACTTTGTCCTTTTTGGGCTCTTTTTGGTTTTGGTGAGTGGGTGTTCGACATTCTTGTGATCATATTTAAGGGGCCAAATTGGTTTAATGATAAAAATGTTGCGGGAAATATAATGTAAATTTGCAGCACAATATAACATCACTGTCTGAAAGTAAACAGCAAGGATTTAATGTCACTTTGTTAAGCTGTTGCTAGTTTGTTTTAGTATCCAGAAGCCATGAGTTGTTAACCCTTAGGCTCGGTATTGTGGATATCGCAACCTTTCGGCTTTGATTCCATTGTAAATACCTTAAATCTGGGAGAAATGTGGCTTTTCTGCCTACCCCCGGGAGTGAACCTGGGCCACAAGGAGTTTGTCACCCAGTCACCGTGCAATCCGGTTTAGCCAACTACGCTAGAGAGCTGGGCAAAGCTGTTGCTAGAAGGTAGGTAGGTGCTTTGCTGCCCCCTCCCCCCACCCTCACCCCCTTCCCCCCCAAAATTGTCACGTTTGACCAGCATCCCCAAAGGAGCTTTAAGTTATAATTGTGAACTAGGTTATATTCGCCATATAAAATGGCTTAGCATTGCACACGACGCAGAGCCCTGAAAAGGACTTCTGCAGTGTTGGTACAGTCAAAGGAGACAGACCCAAATGCTTTCTTGACCGGGGACGAATTCATCTACCAGCGAGCTCGTTGATGACCCGGTTGCCGATGTGTCAGTAACTAGAATTTGATATTGAGAGTTGATAGGTGTTCTTAGTCTGCCCTACTTTGCTGTTTTCTAATTGGTGACCTGAAGGGTTTGCATAATTATCTTTCGAAAAAGATGATAGTGTTGCTCAGCAGAAAGTGAGTTTCTAATGCTAGCTATTAACTAAATAGATGTGAGCTGAACCCTTTTCACCCTGAGAAACTGCAAAACCAACATTTCTGATTGGTTCCATTTTACTGTAAATTTCACTTTTCTGACTTCTCTATGGTGACCTGTTCAGTTAATGCTACTGGCTATTTTGTGCCTGTGCAAACGTATATCCATAAATTAACTAAAAATATCATTTTTTAAAATAGTGAAATAGGTGCTTGAAATCAAGTTCGCATCAAACTTTTCTTGGCCTTAGTGATTAAGGTCAGGGGGTCACCGCAGAAACCTCCAGATTTATGTTTTTTAGGTCCTGGAGAATGTATTCCATTTAAAGCTTCACCTGGATTTATAGACTATGAAAAAGCATTTGACAGCATTGATAGGGAATCTCTCTGGAAATTGATGGGGCACTATGGAATCCCACAGAAAATTATCAACTTAGTAAAGGCAACATATAAAGACATGAAATGTCGAGTTCTTCATGAGGGAAAGCTAACAGATGCATTTGAAATAAAAACAGGTGTGCGACAGGGATGTCTTTTGTCGCCTCTCCTATTTTTACTTGCTATAGACTGGACTATGAAAACAGTAACTGCTAACACCAAGAATGGAATTCATAGGACCCCTACAAAACAGCTTGATGATCTGGACTTCGCTGATGATATTGCCCTTCTGTCCCATTCATGGAATCAGATACAAGATAAATTAAATATACTTAATGCGAGATCCCAGCAGCTTGGTCTGAAAATCCATAAAGGAAAGACAAAGATAATGAGAATAAATCAGGCAAATAGTAATGTGGTTTCTCTTAATGGCACCCCACTCCAAGACGTGGAGTCGTACACCTATTTAGGCAGTAATGTAGATAAAGATGGAGGAACTGATAGAGATATTAAAATAAGAATACAAAAGGCAAGAGGGGCTTTCATAGCACTAGGGAATTTGTGGAGGTCAAAAGAAATTAAAAAAAATACTAAACTAAAAATTTTTAATTCTAATGTCAAATCAGTACTATTGTATGGGGCGGAAACGAAGGCAATTACTAATAAATTACAGACACTCATTAACTGGTGCCTGCGCAGAATAGAGGGAATAAAATGGTATGATAGAATAACTAATGTAGAACTTTGGGAGAGAACTAAACAGGCTCCAGTGGATCAGGAGGTGAGGAAAAGACGCTGGCGTTGGATAGGGCACACACTGAGAAAACAGGAGAACAGCATAACTAGAATGTCTTTGCATTGGAACCCACAGGGGCATAGGAATAAAGGAAGGCCAAAAAACACATGGAGAAGAGAGCTGGAGAATGAGGTTAGAAAGATTGGGAGGACATGGGGAGAGCTCCATGTAATGGCGAAGGATAGAACGACTTGGCGTGAGTTGGTTGAGGGCCTATGCTCCATTGTGGGATAGAAAGGCAGAAGAAGAAGAAGAAAGCTTCACCCTGTTCATGTTTATTCATTGCTTCCTCCAGATATCTGTATATATTTCCCCCCAAAAATACATATATATTTAAATGTAGATAATTTTTTACCAGTTTATTAGTAACCATGACACCCCCTCCCCCTCTTAGTGTTCCTAGGGTGAGGGGGTTGAAATTATAAAATTATTCAATACAAGATGTGTTTCCAGTGATAACACTTTTAAATGAGAGTTTTTAATTAAGAAACACTGCATATAAGTTTCTATTGGCATAATTACAAAAATGAAATTTAAGTTTCCTTTGAAGAAATTACCACGAAGAATGGAAATTTTAAAAAACAACTACTAAAATAGAATTACTCTTTAGAATGTGAGTTTCTAATGACAAAAATACTCTATGGAAGTAAGTTTCTAATTAAAGAATTAGTTGTTTTTTTTTAAAGTTTCTTTATCACAGAAATAAACTGCAGAAGTGAGGTCCAAATACAACATAGCAAGGCAAAACTTTCGGTCAAGAGAAGCACCGGTGCAAGTCAAACTTTATAGGTGAATTACAAAAAAAACAGTGAAGTTCATAGTAGAGACAGCATTGCAGATATAGATAATGTATTTGAAGTGAACAAAAGAAGAAAGTTTGTAATTGAAGAACTTATTGGTAGAAGTTAGTTTCTCGTAGCTGAGTGAAGTAACTAAAAGAAATAAAAAGATAAAACAAATGTACATAAAATTAAATTAAAAAAAACAAAAAAATTTAAGTTATAAAATAAATTATATGTTTAGGAAAATGTCACAGATTTAGAATATTTAGGCTCAGTAGCGAGCAGCAAAAAAATGTATACACGAGGGAGATGAATGGTTGTAGACCATGAGGCAGACCAAGAAGATGATGGAAAGATAATATAAAGACAGACCTGCAAACCCTTGGTGTCACTAATTGGAAAGAGAAGGCTAACCAGAGATATGAATGCAGGCGGGTGATATCTGCAGCAGTGAACCTCAAGGGCTTGGAATGCTGCAGAAGAAGAAGTGAGCAGCAAGGACGATTACACAGAAGAAGGTTCGCTTCAGCAGCGCAGAGACTCGAAAAACATAAATAACCTATGGCACAGCATCTGCAAGTGGGTTAAAGTAAAAATTCTGAGATCATGCATCTTTTCTGCGTCAATTTATGGATGTGGGTCATGTACTTTTACTCGATCATTGAAGTTAAAAATACCATGGACTAAGAAGAAGAAAAACACTGACATCCTATGTGATCTAAGCATGGAGGAGAATTGGCTCGTAAACAGCATCCTATCCTGAAAGTTGGCCATGTTAAATGTCATTGTGGCCTGGAGAGAACGCTGACAGAGGGAACAGTTTCCAGAAAACAAGACAGAGGCAGACCTCTGCGAATGTGGATACAAGACTTTAAAGATGCATTGGCAAGAAAGCTGATATGGGCTAGACAAAGAGAGACTTTCAGGCGTGATGTAACAAGAGCGACGTTCTATTAACTCTTTGAGTCTCAAGGAACGCATCATACATTTATAGATTCCTACCTAGAAGACCAATGAACGTAAGATGCGCCAATTTTATGTCTTTCTTGACTACCCCTTGGGCCTGTGTTGCTAAATCCCTTGGGACTCAAAGAGTTCAGGGGTCACTAACGACATTTTATTTTCAATAAATGACAAAAATATAACTTTTTCAATGTGTTCGTTTTTGTAAAGTTCGGCCTTCGTAAAATGCTACATTTGAAAATTCTTTAAAAATGTACATTGTAAAATTCTATTTAAAAAAAAATTTTAAAAACACCTTTGAAGTAAATAAACTGTACCTGTATGCCGCGAGCCCACGTGGGTAAATACACTGATATAGTTAAGGTGTGGGTTTGAACCTTAACAGTGCCCACCCACGTGAGAAACTGAACTAATATCTAAGCTATGTTGATCCTAGACAGTCCTGGATAGCCAAAAAAACAGCGAGTGGCTCGTTCCATGAAATGAAAGTTGCTGTACTTGTATCCACAGGAGTAGGAGAAGGGATAGATAGAGATCAAGATAAACCCACTGAGAAAATATCAAGGTACTCAGTTAACCCCTCCGACTTTTCTCCTCTCCAGGCATTACTTAAAAGCCCCCATCAAGTGATTTAAATAGTTGTCAGCTGAAGTAAACTAATATGCACAAAGACACTTGAACCTAAGTACACAATTTACTCAACTTTTTTATAACAACATGAACAAGATTTATTGAATAAATCCAACCAAAATAAAATGATCTTGTTTAGGCTAGCAGAGTTGAGGTGATGTTAATAATGAAATTATATATGTAATTGGAAAGTAACAACCTTTCGACAGTTCTCAGCTTGAGACCCTGCCTATTCTTTTCCAGTTTCTCATCCTCACTGCTTCAAGCAGGTCGTTACACTCAGACGGTCGGCAAAGAATGGATGCCTACTAGTCCCTGCCCAATGTGGGAACTGGAGAATGAAACCACAATGCCAAAAGTTCTGTCTCAAGCTTAGGTTGTAAGCCCAACAGATGGCAGCAAAAGGCAGAGTCTCATTCCCAGTTCTAGAATCAACCTCTTATAACTTTTTCTAAGCTCCTCCTACATTAATCCTAAAATCACTCTTATTCAAGGATGTCACAGCTCCTCCCCGTGGGTAAGTCTATTCGCTGTCAGTCAGGGCTGTACAACACTTGTTTGAATTCCCACGGTCATATTCTCCAGGTTCAATCAAGCTGACCCGAGCTAATAAACAAAGTAACACCTCCAGCCTTCTTCAACCAGCCAGGTTGTTTGCTAACAACTCCACTAGACCATGTCAATTCTTCTCCGAACACTTTCGGCTCACTATGTCAATAGTGACTGTCGGACCTGCCCTCAAGTTTAGGTAACTTCAGGGGGAGATAATGGCAATTAGCCTGAGTCATCTGCTCCTTAAGGTCTGGCTAGAAGATAATTATCAGACAACTAACAGATGGTGTGCAAATCTGCAGCCAGTAAGTCTGAGCTAGTCAGTCTCCCTGGCGTCACAAAGACTACCTTAACACTTAACATCTGGGAAAAAGTTTTAGTGTTTGATATCACCAACAGTCCAGGAGAATTAAATGTTTGTTCGGGTCGCCTTACTTAGATTAAGGATGTATCCAAAACCATATTTTTCTGTATACTTTAAAAAACATACAAATAAAAGTAGGTTGAAGAAAGACATTCTGAAGTCACTGAGTGTGTCGTCACACTGTAGATCAACATAGGATTAAAGTTCATAAATCCATCATCATTTTTTCAATACATATGTTTGTTTTTGAAATTTTAATATTCTAAGTACATGTTTTTTCTTCTTCCATGGCAACCATGATTTTTTAAAACTTAAAATGTGCAAATGTATTAACATATATCCGTACAAATGACCAGTATAAAATAATTGGTCTAAAATTGTGAATTAAAAAAAAAAATTGGTGTAATGACCCCTTAACTCTTTGAGTCCCAAGGAACGCATCATACATTCATAGGTTACTGCCTAGACGCCCAAATGAACGCATAATGCACCAATTTTGCGTCTCTCTTGACTACCCCTTGGGCCTGTGATGCTAAACCCTCTTTGACTCAAAGAGTTACGGGCCTGCTTATTGGTGATAAAGAGTTGAGTTTTTATGATAGAAGTGTTCTGTAGAAGCTGACTTTCTAACGAAGCGAGTGTGTTTAAACAGTGTACACATTTGTTGACTGTCGTTCTTTGCAGGCACATACTACAGTTATTCCAAATACTATGAGCTTAAGAACATGAATCTCACCTCAGAGTACGGCTTGCCCGAGGAGTTCAAGTTCAATTTTCAGTACTTTCTTTCGCTGAAATCCACCTGGCTGGCATTTGGTAAGTGTAATGAATGCACCTGTGTCTCCTCCACACTTGATCTCTCTAGTGCAGATTCAACACTGACTCTGTTGTCTAGAGGTTAGGTCACAGCTCAGTCTAACCAGACGGCATTTCTCTCCACGGTCACACAACTTCAAGCGACGGTTGACACCAGCTGACACATTTCAAGAGTTTATTATCACTGTAGCACAAGACACGAATCAACAGTAGAATCAACTTACACCATTCGGACAATCTCGCCTTGCTCACGCATTAAAGCTCCAGACATGCTTCAGACGATGGACACTGGCATATTCACGGCTGGCTCAACAATCAAACAGTGTAACACAACAGCTGGCCTTCACGATCATTCATTTGACTCTGATTCAGATCCACGTGCTCTCTTCATTCTGGATTCATCTTCACAGATTCAGTTGCACATCCTTCCAGTCTGGGGCCCAGTCACTGAATCCCCGCCTGATTCTCAATCCCCCAGATCTCGCATTCACACGTGACTCACTCTCTCTTGTCGTTTCACCATATCTCCGTGAAACCCATGCTCTCAGCGACTTACCCAATTATGCCAGTCATCCCCTGATGTTATCCCTATTTATAGCATCATTACAGTAAGCGTTATTTTATAACAAAATGTATATTGATTCTTTGGATGAGCCCAGTGCAAGAGTGCCATTTATCAGCTATGAAAGCCTTCTTTGATGGAAAGATGGAGACACAACAAGGCGAGTGTGCAGTCTTGTCCACTCCCAAACATACAGGAAGTCTTGTCACTCCCAAACATACAGGAAGTCTTGTCACTCCCAAACATACAGGAAGTCTTGTCACTCCCAAACATACAGGAAGTCACTCTTCTTGTCACTCCCAAACATACAGGAAGTCTTGTCACTCCCAAACATACAGGAAGTCTTGTCACTCCCAAACATACAGGAAGTCTTGTCACTCCCAAACATACAGGAAGTCTTGTCACTCCCAAACATACAGGAAGTCTTGTCACTCCCAAACATACAGGAAGTCTTGTCACTCCCAAACATACAGGAAGTCTTGTCACTCCCAAACATACAGGAAGTCTTGTCATTCCCAAACATACAGGAAATTTTGTCAACTAGCATATGACTGGCACTGTTAACCATGAGACGCTGATGTGTATTTTGAAAGGGGGAGCTGAGTTCCTATGGACAATCATGGAGAGTTGTGAAGATAAACCCAACTAATCACTTCTTGTGTGGGTTCCGGGGCCTCATTATAGGGAAAACAAGAATAGACCCACTGCCTGCCCAAAAGCATATCATAAGAGTCAGCTAATTGGCGGTTTCCTTCGAAGTCGAAGCGCATCTGCCCAAGAGGCAAGGAACCAACAGTCTGCATGCTAATGAGTCAGACCTGTGAAATGGATGTGCACATAACACTCACACTCTGGAACAGGACTAGATTACAGAAGAAGAAGAAGATAGCTTCTCCTCTTTACTATATAGCTTTATTGATGTTGGTTACATTACCTTGAACAGGTTGTACTGGAGCAACCATTTTGACCATCTTCCTGATTGTCATCATCTTCCTGTGTTCACCCTAATTAGTCAACCTTTATGACAGGCTTGTTGAGGGAGGGGGGTCTCAGTGGGTCTATAATCCACACCCCTACTTTAGGACCATGGAATCCACACTGGGAGTAGTAACAGTGTTTGAAAATAAAAATTCTTTGTGTCATTTTATTGTTATTACATAATAGCCACATTTACCATCGGCAGTGCACTGTTATTGTAGGAATATTGTTAACAACTCTAATCATCTGTCACATTTCTTGTGTGGGTTCTGGGGCCCCATTGTGGGGGAAACAAGAATAAACACACTGCCTCCCCAAAAGAATAAATAGGACTAAATAGGTTAGTTGCGTATCCTTTACAGGACGTTGCAGAACCAACCCCAGCAGCCCCTGGCTGTTGTGTGGTTTCTCTAGGCAAATTTACGTCTAGTAGTTTGCCATTGCTTTCTGGACTGTCGGCTTCTTGATACCACTGTCGAAACCAATGCAAGGCGCATGGCCAGCAGCTGGGATCGAACCCGGCACCCCAGCATTACGAAGCGTTCGCATTGACTTAGCCACAGAGCAGACTGCCTCCCCAAAAGCATGTCATAAGAATCAACTAATAGGGAGCTTCCTGTGAAGTTGGAGTGCATCTGCCTGAGAGGCAAGCAACCAACAGTCTGCATACAAATGAGTCGGATCTGCAAAATGTATGTTACACACACACACACCACTGTGGTTCTGGAACAGTCTAGAAGTAGACAAACAACTTTCCGCTGGAGTTTACAGCCAGTTAATGTGAAGAAAAAGAAGAAGATCTGTCACATGGCAGCCATTTTTACCAACTTATAATCTACTAATTCTGAATATTTGCTCTGTGATAACCACTCTACTTCATGTATGAATTGCTTTTTTACTGAATATTCCATCTTCAACCATTTACATATAGAACAAACTTTATTCGCAGTTGCTGTGACAGCTACTTACCATAATCAATATTACAATTACTTTTACCATCAATTCCATTTATAGCCACTCTCTCCCTCTACTGTTAAACTGCCCCAGCTGTCAAACTGTCACTGTCACTACTGTCTGTTTTACCATCTTTTTAGAGCGGTGTAGACAGGCGGTCGTGAACGTGAAGATTTAGGGCCACATGGCTAGTGCTGTCACCATGGACTGTGCAGGTCGGGATGCTTAATTTTGTCCCCGACAAAAAAAAAAAAACGACATCATCTTTCCGGGGGTTGAACCTGGGTCTCCTGCATGAGAGCCTGACGTAACCACTCAGCCACCTGCTCCTTGTGTCACCTATATATCATCCATATTTTAGGAGAAGCAAAGAATAGTAACACTGTACCCTGCCAGGGATTTCACAGGAGGCTACTTTAGGTAGAGCTGGGCTTGGGGCTGGCTACTCCAGCACTGTAATAGTTTCAGTTGCAAAAGCAAATCAGCCACGCACAAGATTATATGAAAAGGATCACTGCAAGTTGGTTAAAGGTCTACGCTTCTTTGGGAGATAAAGGACAGAAGAAAAAGGAAAAAAGAAGAAGAGAAGGAGGAAGAAGAAGATAGCATGTCTGTAATTCTATTGATATATATCACCTGACAGACAAAATAATTATACGAGGGCTTCAAATTAAAATCTTTGAAGTTTGAGAAATTACAATAACCATGCTTTAATCTTGTAACCTAGCAGTATTGTTTAAGGATGTCAAGAGTGTTAAGCACATGACACCACAGTGCAGATGAACATGTTGATGTCATATGACAGTTTGAAAGATGGCCACCCCACTTTTCACATGCGCCAAAGAGGAGCAGCATTTTGTTATCTGTGATATCTGAATGATGATGCAGTGCGGGTGATGCATGTCTATCAGTCCAGCAAATGAATGAGTGGATTAGGAAGTTTTAGAACGGTGGCACTTCTGTGACTGTTTATGATCTGGTGAGGCACATCAAGTAATGACCATTGAAGTTCTTGTAAGGAAATCCATGTATTTATTTTATTTATTATATTGCTATATTGTATTTTATTATATTAATCACTTTCAAAAATTGGAGGTCTGAGCAGACATAGGAATGCCCAATGTGAAGTGAAGTTGATCGAAATATATAACATTTCATGAACCATTATCAACACCACTGATGAAGAATTGCTTGTATTCACAGAGCTATCGGCCACATGTGGTGTGTCCTTTTCTGGCCTCTGATCCCATTCGTGGTGCAGTTTCTTCTAATCGCCTACTGGATCAGTACTATGGTGTATCCTTTTGTGGCTGTTTGGTTGCCTACTTGATGAGTATTGAGATTTGTGGTTGTTCAGTTGTCTACTTGATGAGTACTGAGATTTGTGGTTGTTCAGTTGTCTACTTGATGAGTACTGAGATTTGTGGTTGTTCAGTTGTCTACTTGATGAGTACTGACAGTTGTACTTGATAGTACTCATAAGTACTCTACTTGATGAGTACTGAGATTTGTGGCTGTTTGGTTGTCTACTTGATGAGTACTGAGATTTGTGGCTGTTTGGTTGTCTACTTGATGAGTACTGAGATTTGTGGTTTGAGGTTTTGAACAACGGATCAACATCATGGCACACAAGTAGTAACTCATAAGTACTCCCTTCTTTCTTTTAACTCTAGTCTGAGTCTGAAGAAGCTCAGCACAGTGCACAGGCTCTGTAGCACCGGCGAGGATCCTGAAATACATTGAGTAGATTTTTAAACTCTAAATTTTGCCAGGGCAGCACCGTTAGTCTACTTCTTTTCGATTTTCAACTGCCAAGTGGTTTTTTTTACCTGCGCAACAATGCACACAGGTGTCCGATCTCACTACCAGAGACCATGGGGGAATTACTAGAAGTCCAAGTCCATGTAAAAAAAAATCCCAGCCCTAACCGGGGATTGAACCCGGAACCTCTAGCACTCACAGCGGACGCCATGCCTCGAGGCCACGTAGATTTGTGTCCATTAATCATGTATCCAGTTGCTCCTTTGCAAATGGAGTCACAGTAGTGCAGATGGAGGGACTGGCCAGGCTATTGCAACACTCGTGCAGAAGACCTGGGTTCCAGTCCTCGGTAAGGTGATTTTCCTGTCAGGGAGAGAAATGAAAGTTGTGACTTGCACAGTTCGTAGCGACTGCACTAGCGATGCTGCCTTAAATCCTCAGGATTCCTCCAGGCTTATGACCCCCTGTCCTAAACAATAAAAAGCGGTAATTACAATTACAAGCAGTAAAAACGTTTTCCCCCTTCACATTAGTGTAATGGTCAGAAACTTGCCTACAGTTCTGTGATTGTATATTTATACCCCCATGGGAAACATTTGTGTGTGAGTGTGTGTGCGTGCGTTCATGTTTTTTTTTTTTTTTTTGGGGTGGGGGTGTTTTTTGGTGTGTGTTTTTTTTTTTTTGGTTAACTAATTTTGCAGATGGGGCAGAGAAGGACAACTAAAAGAAAAGGATCATTAAATCAATCAGGAAATCACCATGCTCCAGCACAAGATGACTACTCATTATGGACAGAACAAGTCATTATCCTTAGCCTTAGAACAAGGCACAACTGATTACCCAACTACATGTACACAGTATTAAAGATAGGTATAACAGCCATGTGCACTTGTGGAGAGAAGAGAACCGTTCGGCTGACCGAACGCTGGGCTCTCAAGCGGGTTTGAATCCTCGGTAAGGCTGAAAATTGTTTTCTGTTGGGGGCAAAATAAAATCCTCACCTACACAGTCGTGGCGTCAGCACTAGCCATGGGGCCTTCAATCCTCGGGCTAAAAAAGGTCTGGCACCAAATGGCCAATAACCTCAAGATGTTACATATATACATCTGTAGCCAAATGAGAATGACAGAAAGATCAAGAAAAAGAAGAGGAATAAAAAGAAAAATGCTGTACACAGCTTCTTCTCCACTTTACGATTTATACGACTTACACCATTGGCACTTACTACCGTTGAAAAATAAATAAAAGTAGTAAATAAAGAAGATAACTATATTGGAGGGCCGAAAAGCTCAAGGAATTGAAGTGTAGAGCGCAACAGGATCTAATTGTACTTACACAGATTCAATTTTTGAATTGTTTTCTGTACAATTTTCATAAACTGTTTGAATGAAAATAGTATTGAAAAATATGAATTCGACTTGCGACTAGTTTGACTTACAACCTGTTAATCAGAACAGAACTCAGTTTTAAAGTCGAGGAGACCCTGTATTCAGCACCTTTTAGCTGAATGAGAATGATTGAAAGATGAAAAAGATAAAGTAAAAGAAGAAGCAGAAGAAGAAAAATAAGATGTAGAAGAAGAGGAAGAAGCAGAACAGAAAGAAAAGGGAAATTTATGTATATTCGGTTCTGTATTTAGGTTAAAAAGTCATATCTTAACTGAAATGTCAGCTATCTGTCTTCAATGGGAGAGCCTGAGTTCTACAACACAACCAATGATGTCAATGCTTTATTACAAAGATTTCCTTGTGATACTAATGTGAGTAAATTTGAATGGATGTTTTTAGTGGAAATAACATTATCATCATTTGCCTCTTTCAACATCAAACAAATCCCTGTGTGTTTGAAGTGAGTCGTTTCTTGACTTGATGCTACGCTTTCAAATATCTTGAAATAAACTTGGAATGAACCTTGGTTTACACCGGCTTTAACGTCTAGGGTTGACAACACAAACGCCAGTCGGCTCCTTTGTACATGCTGTCAGTTTATTCAATTACTTTTATTCCACAGCTTCCACAATTATTTTCACTTCTATCGCTCAGGACATATTCAAATACTAGTCATTCTCGCGACATAAAAGACTACATCTTCAAAACTGTAACCGTCTTCCACGAGTTTTGTTCATCAATTGACCACGAGGCTAGCTCAGGCTTTCCCTCGTGTACTCGATTAGGCACAAGTATTGTTGCACGGACTTTCTGCTTGCCACAATGTAATCGTGGATACCATGCAAAGCACCTCATCACAGTGTTCAACATCAAACAAATTCCTGTATGTCTCCTGGTCATCATTCCAAAGATTTTATGTATTACTGTCTTCCTTGCATAAAAATGTTATATTAACTCTTTGTTTCAGAATTTTTAGTTCAGCTATTTCTTTCCCATTGTGTCTCAGTTGAATTCATCTAGAGCTAAGTATTTGTCACTTTAACTCTTTTAGTCTCAAACAACATGTTATGAGTGATAAGCTCTTCTGTGAATCCCACCCAGCCTGTTAAATGTTCTCATACTTTTTACATTTGGCCAGGGCATTGACCATTGTTGCCTCACCATTTTACAGATGCATTAGGTTTTGGACTAGTTGTTGGCCTCATCATTTTACAGATGTGTTAGGTAGTGAACCATTGTGAGCCTCATCATTTTACAGATGTATTAAGTTAGTGGACCTTTTTAAGCATCAGGAATTTTACAGGTGTATTATTTAATGGACCAGTTGCTAACCTCATTATTTTACATATGTATTAGGTTAGTAGACCAGTGTGAACCTCATCATTTTACAAATGCATTAGGTAGTGAACCATTATGAGCCTCAGGATTTTACAGATGTATTAGGTTAGTGGGCCATTGGGAGCCTCATCATTTTACAGATGTATTAGGTTAGTGGGCCATTGGGAGCCTCATCATTTTACAGATGTATTAGGTTAGTGGGCCATTGGGAGCCTCATCATTTTACAGATGTATTAGGTTAGTGGGCCATTGGGAGCCTCATCATTTTACAATTTCATGATTTTTGAGTGCTAGGATGTGGTTTTTACTGTTGATGGTAACCCCCCCCCCCCCCCCCCCCCCCCCCCCCCTCCCCCCCCCCCCCCCCCCCCCACCCCCCCCCCCCCCCCACCTAAGCCTTTTCAAAAAATAAAAAATACTTTAAAAAACATCGTGTACTCGGTGACTAGCTATTACAATCAGATCGTGCTATCACCTTGTTGACACGGATTCTGCTTATTGAATTGAGCTACTACAATGTAATCGTTGGATATATAGAGAGAAGCCGGAAACATGAAACTGTGTACTTCAAAATAAATGTCTCCATTGGGAGTAATGTGATACAAGACTCAAGATGAATTTTCAGAGATACAAAATACAAGTTCAGACAATACTGTTAAACACAGAAGTGAAGAAGAAGCCCAAGGTTGAGAGAGATCAGTGATTTTTTGCAAATTGGTGAATGGGCCATGTAGGCAAATGTGTATTTGAGAATTAGCATCAGATAGACTGTAATGGACTGGTGCTACTTAAGGATGTACTGCAGCTGCACAAGGCAGAGGTGATCGCTTGGCTGTGGGACGAGGTAACAAGTACAAAAACCCCCTGGTGTACACAAATACTAAAATGGGAGGGACCTACAAGTCAGGAGATGAGTAGTTAACCAAAAATTTACAGCAGGGTACCTGTAACACAGTATGGAAACCCAGTTTGAGAGGATCATGAGGGAGGCATGAAGTGCCTGAGCCATGTAGGCGGGTCCTTTGAATGAGCATTTGCAGAACACCCCAGGCATTTTTTTTTTTTACTTAAGGTTTGTACTAGCGGCTGCACAAGGGCAGTATTTGATCGCTTGGCTGTGGGACGAGGTTACAACTCTTGGTACCACGATACTGAAAAACTGTCCTTGCCAAATGTGCAGTTGAGGTGTGTCTGGGATTGAACCGTGGCACTCAAAATATTTGGATAGAACGTTCAGGATGCAGTACTTAGCCACAGAATGACAGCGGGTACAATCAGTATGGAAACTCTTAGCTAATACGTTGAGAGGGATGAAAAGTTAGTTGTTCCTTACCCAGGGGTACCGCTGCAGTATGAGACCAATGACAACCCTAGCATTTTTTTTTTACTTGTGGTTTTTCTAGGCAAATTTACATTCAGTAGTTTGTCATTGCTCTCAGCTGAATGGGTCGAAGAAGACGGAAGGTAACCACCACAAAGACTGTCTGTTTCATAACTGCTCATCTTGCTGCTGGGATCGAACCTGGTATGACACCTGTTATTACATAGGTCCACGTTTTCTCAAGCCTCAGCCACAGGTGGGATCGCTAGCGTTAAATGCGGGAAAACAGAGCTTATACATACGGCAGGCAAAGAAACACAATTGGAGAAATTTATTTTGTTTGTCAAGTATGGGGTGACTCACACACTCTAAGTATGCTAAAGGATGATAGTTAGGTGGGTAAAATAGTTGGGTTATGCATAAAGTGCACAGAAGGGACATGTAGAAGAAGGTGATGGAAGAAGCAAGAAAGACGGTTGGTTCCTCACCTATCAGGCAGGTTGCTAATAGGGAAACAATCTATTATTTTATTACTAATCTTCTGCTGATAATCACGGTGTGCGTCTTCGTTTTTTACAGTGCAATGATCTTACTTCCGAAGTCTGCAGCTTTGCTGGCAAGTGATGTGGGGTGACACGCCAGTAAAGTTAATGAAGTTTATTTATGAGTTATGATTTGTATTATCTTCACAGCACTCCATAGGTGATAAGTTTCCCCCCTTTGCATATACATCAGTGTTCTGCAGATAAAAGTGGCAGTTCTACACTGGTTGTCAAAACTTCTTTTACATCTAGTGTTCCTCTTATGCCTGGCCATGCCAAGCTTTACTCCATTTTTTTGTGTGTGCATTATTAGCAGTGATGTGCAAAACCACTGCCCCCACAAATCCTGAGATCACCGCCTCTCTTTAAGGGTATTATATATTGACTTTTAAAGTGGAGACTGCTTAATTAAGATGGTCTTGGATGTTGTGAATTAATTTGTGAAGAACAATATGTTTTTCCCCGGCAATTTTTCTTGCTTTAAATCTTATCTGGATAAGAGGTATTTCTGATAAGAAGAACCATTTCTTGAGTTCTGGTGATTTCTCCTTATTAGATCTGCACTGTATATTCATTTTGGTTTATCTTTGCTTGCCAGAGTGAAAGTAGTTCCATGGTAAATATTGCTTTTGGGATGTCAGTTGAGCTTTTTACATGTTCTAGGCCATGATATACGTTGAGATGGCTAGTTCACATCCTCGTCACCTGTACATCTAAAATATTTCTGCTCAAAATGCAAATATTTTTCTGGATTCCCCTTTTGGCTACCCCCCCTCCCCCCCCCCCCTTTCCCCCGCCCCCCAAAAAAACTGCCATTAACCTACAGAAATTTCCTACAAAAGTTCTTTAAAAAATTGTACACATGTAATTGATAAATTGTTAACAAATTTATTTATCTGAATTTAAAAAAGATTTTGATTCGAAATATGTAAAGATATATTTAGGAATATAAACAGTAAACAAAAACAGTGTGAAGCCTTAAATAGAATGCATTCCCCTGAGTCTAAAGCAAATATGTATCTGGTGACTCATGCCATGAACTCAATCACTGAGGCTTGCAAGAAAATTCAACCTGGTTTTAAAAAAGCTATTATATTTACTGTAAAGAGAGCAGAGTTCTGTAAAGGACTTACTGATTGATGATGATTGTATTTACAAGCAAACCTCTCTAATTGCTCTATTTAGTTAATATATTCATACCTATACCAGGATGGGCTGTCCTGGGAAAGTAAAAACAGCCGGTGTAATGCTGACCACAGGGTAACCACAGAGTGCTGATGGTCTGTAAAAATATGGGACGCTCTGCCCATATGCCCGATGCGCCGAAAGGTGTGAAAAGAGAACTTTACTTTTTTTTTTTTTTACCTATATTCAAACACTTTGCAGGCACACATAAAAACAGTGGCCTATAACTGTTTCTTGAGATCAACTCACTGCTGAAATGGTGATATATCAGCTGTGCCACAACCCTAAATGACAATGACTTAAAGAGTCACTTTTCTGATGCCAATCCAAAAGGAATAGGTTTTATGGATGATTAGTTCAACTGTAAAAACAGTGTTATTGGAGTACCTTACAACTACACAATCATTTTCTCTAGATTCTGGTCTGCATTTCAGTGTCACATTTTGAAGTGGCATGTGGGGAAAGCGCTGGTGTGTTTTAAGCAGATAGTGGTTTTCGCAGCCTCAGATACTCCATCTGTTTTTCACTTGCCTGTGGGAACCTTTCACTCTGCTTCCATTTTGTCTAAGTAGTCAGGGCTCTGTGTGGGGCACTATCCTGTGGCAGTCTTGTCACATGCCCAAACCATTTGACCTGTTGTCTTGTGATGTAGTTTATTACTGGTTCTGTTTCAGCTTGTTTCTTATATTTATCCTTTCTTTATATCCTGTCTCTTTGTTTCATTGTACCTATACTGTACTAGCAATGCAGCCATCGTAGGACAGTGGTTAGTGGACTTGGGTGCTAAAACAGCGGTCCATCTTCTAGAACTGGCAGGTGCAGATTATCTCCCTCCAGTCAGTGTGGCTCTGGGAGTCAGTCTATCCTCATAAAAAGTTGGAGAGACATTACAGAAATGTTCCAGAAAAAGAAGCCCCTAACTACCCTTCCCACACCTTTCTACCACCACCCATACATTTATAAAAGTTTGTATTAATCTAATATTCAGATAATAGGTTCATAGATGGATATATAGATATAGATTGGTCTTCTGGCTTCAGAGAGGACTTTCCATGCCTTCCTGTCCTGTGCAATCTTCAGTGCAGTTTTCTATGTCAGAGATGCAGTACTCAATTCACTTTCCATTGTTCATCTCCATGTTGTTTTTTTTGTGCCGCCCCTTCTTTCTCTCTCTTTCCTTCTGGTGTCTGAAAGCTGTTTTGGCAGGTACACCAGGATTCATTCTCATGACATGGCCAAGCCATTTTCATCTTCTCTTTGATATCATACAATCCAGACTTTCTTGGTTTGTGACTTGAAGTACTTCATAATGGGGCCTTGAAAACCCACACAGGATATTGTGTGTATTAAAAACAAAAACAAACAATCGGTGTCTCTGACATGAAATCTGTGATCCTGTTACAAAATCTCTGACATGAAATCTGTGATCCTGTTACAAAGTCTCTGACAGGAAATCTGTGATCCTGTTACAAAGTCTCTGACATGAAATCTGTAATCCTGTTACAAAATCTCTGACATGAAATCTGTGATCCTGTTACAAAGTCTCTGACATGAAATCTGTGATCCTGTTACAAAGTCTCTGACATGAAAACTGTGATCCTGTTACATAGTCTCTGACATGAAATCTGTGATCCTGTTACATAGTCTCTGACATGAAATCTGTGATCCTGTTACAAAGTCTCTGACATGAAATCTATGATCCTGTTACAAAGTCTCTGACATGAAATCTGTGATCCTGTTACATAGTCTCTGACATGAAATCTGTGATCCTGTTACAAAGTCTCTGACATGAAATCTGTGATCCTGTTACAAAGTCTCTGACATAAAATCTGTGATCCTGTTACAAAGTCTCTGACATGAAATCTGTGATCCTGTTACAAAGTCTGTAACAGGAAATCTGTGATCCTGTTACAAAGTCTCTGACATGAAATCTGTGATCCTGTTACAAAATCTCTGACATGAAATCTATGATCCTGTTACATAGTCTCTGACATGAAATCTGTGATCCTGTTACAAAGTCTCTGACATGAAATCTGTGATCCTGTTACATAGTCTCTGACATGAAATCTGTTATCCTGTTAAAAAGTCTCTGTTATCTTTCAGCTATAAAACTGCCATGTTGGTCTACATGGTGTTTATGTTTTTCTGGCTCATGAACTTCATCATTGCCCTGGAGGAGATGACCTTGGCTGGTGCCTTTGCCTCTTATTACTGGGCCTGGGACAAGAGTAAAGACATCCCGGCCTTTCCTTTGGCTTCATCATTTTACAGATGTATCAGGTAAGGGGACTATTGTGAGCCTCATCATTTTATAGATGTATTAGGTAAGGGGACTATTGTGAGCCTCATCATTTTATAGATGTATTAGGTAAGGGGACTATTGTGAGCCTCATCATTTTATAGATGTATTAGGTAAGGGGACTATTGTGAGCCTCATCATTTTATAGATGTATTAGGTAAGGGGACCATTGTGAGCCTCATCATTTTACAGATGTATTAGGTAAGGGGACCATTGTTAGCTTCATAATTTTACAGATGTATTAGGTTTGTGGACTATTGTGACCAGTAATATCAACATTTATAAGACAGAGGATATGGAACTGCAGTGGACACATCCTGAAAAGAAACCAGCATAGAATCACCAAATAGGCATTAAAATGGGAAATAAAGGGATTATGGAGGCGAGGACACCCACAAGAAACCCTAAGATAAATGTTGATGAAAGAGGCCAAAGATGCTGGACTGGATTTCATCCGTGATATTGAACTGATTACACAGGATAGAATGGAACGAAGGAATAGACTGTGAGCCCTAGGTGACATACAATGTCACAGTAGGATAATGGATAAATTAATGAATGAACGATTATAAATGACACTGGCTTCAGCAGGGTTGCATGCGGTCCCATTTGTTTGTGTGTTTTTCCCCCACCAAATTACATATATGACAACAATTCATCACCTCACACAAATCAGAAAACATTGGAAGCAATTAGCAGGGTTGAATTGTATTCTTACGTCTGCCATGCAGCTCCAATTTAGCAATCTCCGATTTTCATCTCTGTGGTCCACCTAACTCTTTCAGTCCCAGACAACACATCATATGTGACTATAATTTACTCATACGCACCAGTTAACATATTATTGTGTTTAGTTGATAAAACACGCAACAGCACATTTGTCTCCCTCAAGGACCAGGTGTGACTGGATTTACTCATACGCGCCAGTTAACGTATTATTATGTTTATACATTTTATGTTTAGTCTGTAAAAACACACAATAACACATTGTATCCACAAGGACGTATATTTGGGCCCTGTAGATGTAGAATACCCATTATTTTGTTGCTTTCACAGTTGACTAACAGGGGCATCTAACTATGACCTTCTGCGATGAAAAGAGTTGAAATTCAGTCTGACAAATTTGAGAATGATGAGGATGTTATTTATGCCTTAAGAAAAAATAAAAAAAAAAAAATAAATACATAAGCAAGGCAAAACCGTATACAGGTAAAGCACACATGCTCTTGCTTTTTGGTGGAACAAGGTCATAGAATTGTTTGAAAACAATTTAAACAATTAGGATGTTTTAAGGAAACAATGAGTTATACTTTTAGTGACGTTTGTACATTTTACTCAAACAGTTTTGCAAGAAAAAACAATAAGGGACATTACTTTTGCGTGACAAAAACTAATAAGAGGCAGAAATGATAACTTACCACAACTAATGAGCGGAAGATCGTAACAACAGAGATAACATGTCTTAGGAGAGATGCGGAGAGACAAGAAGCGATAAAATCAGGAATGAAGAAATGAGAAGATTATGACTGAAACCAGTCATACAATTCATTAAAGAACAACAAATGAGATGGTTTGGCCACGTGACGAGAATGCCCTGGTACTAACTGCCACAGAGAGCCATGCTGAAGAGATATAATCAACACAGAGCAAGGGGAAGACCACACAAGATATGGAGCGACACCATCAGAAGCAACCTAACAGAAATGAACACCAACTTAAACAATACATTGGAAAAGTGCACAAACCATCCTTACATCGCCCTCCAACACCTCGCTGCTGTAAATGGTGGAAGAGAAGAAGAAAAAGGAGATTTTTGAGTGACCCTCTTTTATTCCTTTCACTTTATTTGTTAATTTTTTGGTTGTGCATGTGTGTGTATGTTTGCTTTATCAAAATAGCCCTTCTGTCTTAGAGTGTGTGTTTGAAAGAGTGTGTCTATGTGGGTGACTGTGTATGAATGTGTGTGTGTATGTATGTATGTATTTGTGTGTATGTGTTTGTGTATGTGTGTTTACGTATGTGTGTTTGCATGTTTGTATGTATGTGGATGTGTATGTATGTGTGTATTGGGTGCCTATGTGTGTGTGTGTGTAAGTGAGTGAATGGGTTTGCGTGTGTATGTGGGTGTGTGTTTTGCGCACGAGCGTGTGCATACATTTTACAGCCTATGCTTTTGTTTTTGACTTGATATTCATAATATGCATGTTATTACATGAACATAACATGCTTTATTGATTTAAAAAAAAAACTGCTGTGTGAAATATAGGAGTTTGGAAGGGCCGAATGTAAGACAGGCCTGCGTGCCTAATTTGTGACCCTTTGAAAATAAAGTTCGTTCGTTCGTTTTGTCTCAGGTACCACACAGGCTCTCTGGCATTCGGCTCTCTCATCATAGCATTAGTTCAGATGGTCCGTGCCTTCCTAGAGTATGTCAACCGGAAACTCAAGGGCACCGAAAACAATGTCGCCAAGTTTATCCTCAAGTAAGATTTTGTTGTCTGCCCTTGATTGTCTGTCTACATATAAGTGTATACCAGATTGTTAAGATTCTTTTGTTACCATTTTCATGCACATGTAATATTACCTTTCATTTTTTTTAAAAGCCTTACCAATTATATAAGTTGAGTTGAGTCAAGAATTGACATCACATCACTCCGGGCATTCCCATGCATGCTCCGTCCTCATCTTCAGCAGCCAGTGCAGAGTTCCAATTCTGATGTTACCAGTCACAATCTGATTATATGTCTGTCTTGCCTTTTCTCTGAGTGTATTGAGCTGACCAGACCCTCTGGTTACACCCAGGTGCCTCATTCTCTCCAGGCCATAATAATCTTCAATCTCTACTGATTCTGTTGCTTGTTCCCAAAGGGCCTTGACCACATCTGCCTTGCCATGAATCAATTCACCACCCAGTGGTGCAGATCCAGCCAATCTGTCTGCCTGTTCATTACCCACTACACTGGCATGGCCTGGAGTTATATAAATGTATACATACAAATACAATTTTGAAGCAACAACTTCACAGTTTGCCATTTATCCAATAGGACATGCAACATAAAAACAGGTCATTCACCATTTATCCAATAGGACTTATGACATAAAAACAGGTCATTCACCATTTATCAATTAGGACTTATGACATAAAAACAGGTCATTCACCATTTATCCAATAGGACACGACATAAAAACAGGTCATTCACCATTTATCCAATAGGACATATGACATAAAAAGAGGTCATTCACCATTTATCCAATAGGACAAATAACATAAAAACAGGTCATTCACCATTTTTCCAATATGACTTATGACAACTAAACAGGTCATTCGCCATATGTCTACTATGACTTATGACATAAAAAGAGGTTATTCACCATTTATCCAATAGGACAAATGACATAAAAACAGGTAATTTGCTATTTATCCACTATAACTTATGACAACTAAACAGGTCATTCGCCATATGTCCATTATGACTTATGACATAAAAACAGGTCATTCGCCATTTATGCAATATGACTTATGACATAAAAACAGGTCATTCTCCATTTATCAAATAGGACAAATGACATAAAAACAGGTCATTTGCCATTTATACAATGGGGCATATGACATAAAAACAGGTCATTCAAACAGGTCATTCACCATTTTTTCAATGTGATTTATGGCAAAGAAATAGGTCCTTCACAAATGATATAGTATGACTTCAAGCATAAAAACAGGACCTTAACCCTATACTCAGCAGTTCAACTAAGTTCACCAGCAGTTCAACTAAGTTCACTGAAGGGCCAGCATGTTGAAATTGCTCTATGTCCCGGCTCAAAAAGATTGTTAGTACAGTTCAATTAGCAGTGATCTAGGCCTCTGACATAGAGACAAGTCCTTTACCAAATACCCAATGTGGCTTATGACATAGAGACAAGTCCTTTACCAAATACCCAATGGGGCTTATGACATAGAGACAAGTCCTTTACCAAATACTCAATGTCACTTGTGACATAGAAACAAGTCCTTTACCAAATACCCAATGGGGCTTATGACATAGAGACAAGTCCTTTATCAAATACTCATTGTGACTTATGACATAGAAACAAGTCCTTTACCAAATACCAAATGGGGCTTATGACATAGAGACAAGTCCTTTACCAAATACCCAGTGTGACTTATGACATAGAGACAAGTCCTTTACCAAATACCCAGTGTGACTTATGACATAGAAACAAGTCCTTTACCAAATACCCAATGGGGCTTATGACATAGAGTCAAGTCCTTTACCAAATACCCAGTGTGACTTATGACATAGAAACAAGTCCTTTACCAAATACCCAATGGGGCTTATGACATAGAGACAAGTCCTTTACCAAATACCCAGTGTGACTTATGACATAGAGACAAGTCCTTTACCAAATACCCAGTGTGACTTATGACATAGAGACAAGTCCTTCACTAAATAACCAACATGACTGATGATATAAAAAAAAAGTCTTGCTTGTTCTTTTGCAGGTGTCTTCGATGCTGTTTCTGGTGTTTGGAGAAATTTCTGAGATATGTCAACAAGAACGCATACATTTTGGTTAGTGGAATCGTATTTGTGCATTCTGTTTGTACTGATGAAACTGTGCAGAAATACAGTACCTTTATCAGTCATGTTGTCAGAATACATTTAAAAGATGTAATATTAGAGATGAAAGGGAACCCTCTTGTTTGCTATTTTTAGTTACTATATTCATTATATCCAGCCTCTTTCAGTCCTGTCAGATTTTGTAGGACAGGGCTGTTCATCTGATGGTCCAAGGGCCACATCTGGCCCAAGGAAGCCTAACAAGTGGCCTGTGGACCATTGCCGGTTGTATTATGTTAATGATGTTTCTGGGCTAGAACTTGGACATCTGGCCTGTGACTATCTCCAAAATGTTGGTCCCTGAATAAGCTTAGTTGAATATCCCTGTTATAGGAGATGCCCAGTGAGTGTTTAGCCGTAAAGAATAAATCATATGTGTATCACTTTCACAGGGGCGGCATCTAAACTTAAAGAATAAATCATATGTGTATCACTTTCACAGGGGCGGCATCTAAACTTAAAAAATAAATCATATGTGTATCACTTTCACAGGGGCGGCATCTAAACTTAAAAAATAAATCATATGTGTATCACTTTCACAGGGGCGGCATCTAAACTTAAAAAATAAATCATACTATATTGAATTCTAAAATTCACAGTGTGGGTTCCAGAGCCCCATTGTGGGGGAAATCAAGAGTAGACCCGCTGCCTCCCCAACAAGCAGGTCGTAAGAGTCGACTCATTAGGGGGCTTCCAAGTTGGAGTGAATCTGCCTGAGATGAAAGGAGCCAACAATCTGCATACAATGAAGTCAGATCTGTTAAACGGATGTGCACGCAACACTCAGGTTCTGGAACAAGACAAAAGTCCATAGGTCGACAAAAAAACCAGAACTTTCCGCCGTAGTTTACAGCGAGTAAATACTTAAAAAAAAAGAAGAAGAAGAATTATACAGTAACTCTTTATCATAAAAATCGGATCATATCGTGTGTTTTTTATGGGCAGTAACTGATCACACTTGATGAATTGGCTGGGACTGAAAGAGTTAAACACTGCGCAGGAACCAAAAGAACCAATGGAATTTAACTTGCTTTTAGAGAACATGTCACTGCAGACATCCAAAAATCGCCCTTAACCTCCCTCACTTGGATCTACACACCTGGTCATGCTGGCGTAAAGGATAAAGAGCAAGCGGACCAACTGGCAAGCAATGCACCAATGCATGTGGAAAGAAACATGGAGAGAGCAGATATCATCAACGCTGTATGGTCTGGGCTAGTGGATAATGACAAATCTCTGACACTAATACGATTGCATGACATGAGAGTAAAGCATGGTGAATCCTGTCTCTGCCACATTCAAGTCAGCGATAGAAATATAATTAAAACCAACTTCTCATGGAAACAGTTAGTAGAAGTACCTTGGAGTGGGTGCTACATCAGAGGACTTATCACTCCTAGGAATGCCCAGTGTGCAGTGACATTGATTGTGATAACATAACATGCCAAAATTTGTACCCTGTCACAACCAGCAGTGATTAGATTAAGTCTTTTCGCCATGACAGGGGTTACACACCTCCTACAATGTGTATTGTAGGTCATTATGTCACTTACTATTGTTTGCTTCCCTTTCCAGTCACATTTTTACATTATGTGATATTCCCCTTTCAGATTGCCGTGCATGGACGCAACTTTTGTACAGCAGCTAAAGATGGGTTCTTCTTAATCATGAGAAATGTTTTAAGGTGGGTGAAACCTAGACTCTTTACTATCAGTGTCATTCTCCTCATGGGTGAAACCTAGACTCTTTACTATCAGTGTCATTCTCCTCATGGGTGAAACCTAGAGCTATCAGTGTCATTCTCCTCATGGGTGAAACCAAGACTCTTTACTATCAGTGTCATTCTCCTCATGGGTGAAACCTAGAGCTATCAGTGTCATTCTCCTCATGGGTGAAACCTAGACTGTTTGCTATCAGTGTCATTCTCCTCATGGGTGAAACCTAGACTGTTTGCTATCAGTGTCATTCTCCTCATGGGTGAAACCTAGACTGTTTGTTATCAGTGTCATTCTCCTCATGGGTGAAACCTAGACTGTTTGCTATCAGTGTCATTCTCCGCATGGGTGAAACCTTGAGCTATCAGTGTCATTCTCCTCATGGGTGAAACCTAGACTGTTTGCTATCAGTGTCATTCTCCTCATGGGTGAAACCTAGACTGTTTGCTATCAGTGTCATTCTCCTCATGGGTGAAACCTAGAGCTATCAGTGTCATTCTCCTCATGGGTGAAACCTAGACTGTTTGCTATCAGTGTCATTCTCCTCTTCTTCTTCTTCTTCACGTTCACCAGCTGTAAATTCTGGCGGAAAGTTTTGGTTGTTCATCCACTTCTGGACTGCAGTTCTCTTCCAGAATCTGAGTATTGCGTGTGCATCTGTTTTACAGATCTGACTCATTTGAATGCAGACTGTTGGTTCCTTGCCTCTCAGGCAGTTGCACTCTGACTTTGAAGGAAGCTCCCAGTTAGTTGACTCTTACAACAGGCTATTGGCTAAACAGTGGGTCTCTTCTTGTTTCCCCTATAACAGGGCGCGGCGGGACTATCGTTCACACGGGGACTAACCTCTGGTGTGTGTAGGCATGTTGAGGAATGAACGGGCAGACAGATTGACTGGTTTTGCATCTGTTGGGGGGGGGGGGGGGGGGTACATTTTTGTATGACAAGCTAGATGTGGTCCAGGCCCTTTGGGAACAAGGGTACAAGGCCCGAATTGATCATTATGGTCTGGAGAGAATAGTGCAGCTAAGAGTGACCTGGGGACTGGTACACTCTACCTTACACTCTGAGTTGCTTACTCTGCACTCTGCAAAAGCTGCTCCGAATTGAAATTGCTCTCTTTTGCTGGCTGCTGAAGTTGAGGATTAGTTGCTAAGGTAGAATACCATCCTTGGAGTCTTACGCTGGAGGCTCAGTTCTTCTAGTTTCTCAACTCTCTAGTTAAAAAAAAAATTTTTTTAAATAAAGGGAAACACCCCCCCCCCCCCCCCCCCCCCTTTTCCACTTTATCACTTTTTTTTTTTTTTTTTTTTTTACTTGAGTGGTACATTGTGCACAAAATGTAGACTCATATGTTGTGAGGATTAGATTCCACTCAGTGGGTGATGGTTGAACATCGCACTGAATGTTAATATTCTTCTTCTTCTTTTCAACGTCCACCGGTTGTTTACTCTAACAGAAAGTTCTGGTTGTTTGTCCAGTTCTGGACTTCAGTCTTGCTCCGCAGCTTGAGTTGCTTTTGGAGAACAGGTCACTGCAGACATACCAAAATCACACTTAACCTCCCTCACCTGGATCTACACACCTGGTCATGCAGGCGCAAAAGGTAACGAGCGAGCAGACCAACTGGCAAGCAGTGCACATAAACATCCATTTTGCTCATCTGGTTAATTTGTTTGCAGGCTGTTGGTTTCTCGCTTCTCAAGCAGATGCACTCTGACTTTGAAGGAAGCACTCCTAAGGAGGAACTGGGCCCATTCTTTTTCAACCATAATGGGGCTTAGGAATCCACATGGGAATATTAGTATTCACTTTGTAATAAGATGCAGCTTCAAAGATGATTATTGTTACCTGTTTAATATGTGCTGGCTACAGACAGGATTGCTAAGAGAAATTTTTTTTTTTCAATCATTATGCGTGGCTACAACTAATCTGGTGTAGAGAAAATGGATGAATTTAGAATATACAGTTAGTAAGGAGAGGGTCTATTTTGTTTTTATTTTTTCATTCAAACACCCCCCCCCCCCCCCTCCCCCCTTTCACTTTCCAGGATTGAAATCTATACGACTAACATCTCAAAGATAAGAATCTGGAAAACCTGTTCAGCTGTATAGCCATGTAGCAAAGTTATGTTGGGGCACCACAGAACGGTTACTTGTAACTTGTAGTCCTGTTTGGGTGGGTCTGAGAACAGGTTCTTGTCACCCAAACTCATTATATGTTGACTTAGTAAATGTGATACTTGTCATTTCACAATCTTACTGCATTATCAGCCATAAAGTTATTTATCTTTGTTTTACAGGGCTTTTGTTCTTGACAAAGTGTGTGATTTTCTCATGTTTATATCAAAACTCATGGTCACTGGAGCAATATGTAAGTAGAACTTTTTAAATTGAGTCATTTTTATTGTGTACAGTGTTATGTTAAACCATAATGTACGGCAGTCTTCTTCTCCTCCTCCTCTTCCTCTTTTTTGTTTTCTTCTTCTTCTGCTCCTTCTTCTTCTTCTTCTCCTCCTCTTTCACCTTCGTCTTCTTCTTCTTCTTCTTCTTCTTCTTCTTCTTCTTCTTCTTCTTCTTCTTCTTCTTCTTCTTCTTCTTCTTAGTGTTCATTGGCTGTAAACTCTGAAAAGTTCTAGTTGTTGTCCACTTTTGGATTTCAGTCTTGTTTCAGACTGTTGGTTCCTCGCCGCTCAGGCAGATGTACTCCTACTTCGGAGGAAAACTCCCTGAGTAGTGGCCTTTTCTGACATGATTGTTAGGGAAGCAATGGGTTGGTTCCTTTCCTCCTTAGAAAAGGGCCCAGGGACCCATCTGGGGAATATATGTCAGTGGATCTTGGAATGTGAAAGAACAAATTTAAAAATATAGATCAAGCTTTGAGGCAGAAAATGGAGCTTTCGGGATGTGTCGGCTAGGCATTTGCCTACTTACTAGGTGTAGGGTTAAAATCTGCATTGAGGTGAAAGTTTTCAAAATTGACCTTGGCTCCCAGGTCGATCCTTCTTCTTTGGCAATCTTTGGTCATGCGCTTAATCCACTGTGGGCCATAAGGGGAAAGCTTACAATCGGACTTGTGTGCAGGCTTGATAAATTTGTGCTCAGTGAGGAGTAGGTCGAATGTCCGTGCAAGTTTTAGACGTGAAGGGTTCTTATCACTTTAGGTCTTGAGTGCAGGGACTGGCCAGCTGGTGCTGAAGAATCAGAAGTTCAACAAATGATTCATAACAATTCCTGCCGCGGTGATGTGATTATCTATACAGATGGCTCTGTGTTGAGGGGTAGATAAAGTGCATGGGGGTTCATAGCAAAAGCAAATGGACATCGCTTAGTGAAACAAAGCCTGGCAAATGATATCACGTCTAGTTTGAGAATGGAGGAGGAGGCAGTCACTGCTGCATTCCGCTGGCTTGAGAATCAGCTGTACACACATGCCGTGATTGTAACTGACTCACAGAGCATGTTGAGAAAGGTGGAGATAGGTATGCTGCGTGCAGAGTGGCAAGCATCCCTTCAGAGGTCCCGGGTAGTATCCTTTGGATATTCTCTCCAGGTCATGCCGGTGTGTTGAGAAAGAAGCATGTAGATAGACTGGCTGGTTCTGCACCACTTGGTGGTGAACTGATGAATGACAAGCTAGATGTTGTGAGGGTCTGAGGAGAAGGGCACTTTGAGGAGTTGCCAGGGGATCTGGCTGATGCTCAACACTCAAGGGAAAGGTGAGACGGATATACAATCAGACAGTTACTGGTGCAATCGGAATTAAAACTTTTTGATTGCTGCTGAAGATGCGGGCTTAGCGCTTATGGGAGTGTCCCGAGTGCTGTGATGTTGATTCTTAATTTAACATTCAACATTCATAAGGGCAAAAGGAGAAGAAGAAGAAATTTCATGTTACATCATCATACCCTGCTAGAGTGAAGATGTTTCTAATTCACTGTTCCCAGACACTGCCTGCTATGTTGGTGTTATTGAATCATCTGCCACTTCTCACTAAGGAGATTTGGCCAGATTGGTGACGGTAATAAAAATCTGGCCTTGTACATCCACAGCTGTTCTGGCTTTCTTCTGGTTCCAAGGGAAGATTCCTTTCTTTGAGAAAGTGGTTCCAGACCTGAATTATTTCCTCTCAGCCGTCATTGTAAGTATTTCTGCCAGTATGTTTGACATGTTAAATAAAAATATCTATATTGGGAAGCTATCCTCTTCTTCTTCTTCTGCCTTTCTAGCTCCCAATGCAGCACAGGCTCTCAGCCAGCTCACCCCAAGTCGTTCTGTCCTTCGCTATCGCATGCAGCTCTCCCCATGTCTTCCCCATCTTTTTAGCACAGGCTCTCAGTCAACTCACCCCAAGTCATTCTGTCCTTCGCTATTGCATGCAGCTCTCCCCATGTCTTCCCCATCCTTTTAGCTTCACTCTCTAGCTCCCTTCTCTGTTTTTTTTTTTTTGGGTGGGTCTTCCTTTATTTCTATGCCCTTGTGGGTTCCAGTGCAAAGACATTCTTGTTATATTCTCAGGTTTTCTCAGAGTGTGTCCTATCCATCGCCAGCATCTTTTCTACACCTCTTGGTCCACTGGAATTGTCATAGTAAAAAAAAAAACTTATTTTAAATTGTCTATTTCCGGTTTTGTTTTTTTCTCTCGAAACAAATGTGCTAGTACTCACCACAAAGTGTCTTTACAAAATGTGCTGGTACTCACCACAAAGTGTCTTTACAAAATGTGCTGGTACTCACCACAAAGTGTCTACAAAATGTGCTGGTACTCACTGCAAAGTGTGTTTACAAAATGTGCTAGTACTCACCACAAAGTGTCTTTACAAAATGTTCTAGTACTCACCACAAAGTGTCTTTATAAAATGTGCTGGTACTCACCACAAAGTGTCTTTACAAAATGTGCTAGTACTCACTGCTAAGTGTCTTTACAAAATGTGCTGGTACTCACTGCAAAGTGTCTTTACAAAATGTGCTGGTACTCACCACAAAGTGTCTTTACAAAATGTGCTGGTACTCACTGCAAAGTGTCTTTACAAAATGTGCTGGTACTCACTGCAAAGTGCTGGTACTGCCTACTGTTGAGTACCACCAATGTAAAAAAGAATTTACTGTTCCCAAAGTCATGGCAGCATAAGGGCTAGTGTGCTGACATACTTGCCCAGTGGGTCTGGGTTTAATCCCCCCCTCCCCACATTAAGCAAGATGTTTTGGTGATCACACGGCTTCAGTGTTAAATAAACTTAATTATTAACCCTTTCTGCTCTACAGTATATGAAGGCAGTCCAAAGTCAAAACATATTTTGAAAAGATTAACATGTCATTCAGAGAGCTAGTTACTACATGTGTGCATACTAGGCAAATTTACCTGCATTTATTTTGATGTTGTTTTTCATCTCACATCCTGGTTAATTAATATTTTCATTTATCTTTAGCCATTGTTTATTCTATCATCTTAATAATTGATTCAATCAATCAGTCAGCAGGTCCTTTACAAAAAATTGCTCTCGTCACTTCACGCCTGAAAATACTCTTTCTGTGGCCAATTCTCTAGCCCTATGTGCTTTCATAGCCAGTGCATCTTCCATTTCCTGTATCCACCTTCATGAAGGTCAGCCTCTGTCTCGCTTACTTCATTGATTACTTATATCCTATTTAGTTTGCATTTTTCCCCATTTATCCTAGTCTCTGATCCTAATGATTGACTACTAACTTCCTGGTAATTATTTTTCCCCCACCCTTCATCTCAACTTTTCATCTTAACCCTTTGTACATCCTAATAAGTTATTTCCCCCCCCCCCCCCCCCCCCCACATTTATCTTAGCCATTGTTTTATCCTAATAGTTGATTACCTACTTCATGGTTAGTTATTTATTTTCTTTCATTTATCTTAGCCTTTGTTAATTTTCTTATCTGAATCGGTGGCTACTTGCTGTAGCTGATTGATTCTCTGGTTTGTGTCTCATTTGTCGGCGTCCGTGGCTTAGGCGTTTCGAGTCCAACTTGTAATTACAATGTATCTGCGATCAAAACCCACCGCTGGCTGCGTGGATTTTTATCATGGTATGGAGCGTTGAAGGTCGACCCAGCCTTAAATGGATACCAGGATGTATGTCCTGGGGAAGTAAAGATGGCCGGCGTAATGTTGACCACATTACCCACCTAGTGCTGATTGGTCTGTAAAAATATGGGTGCTCTTCCCATATGCCCGATGCGCCTAAGGCGTAAAAAGGGATCTTTACTGACTTTTACTCTGTCTCATTATCCAGCTAACTGCAATTGGAGCCTACTTGATAGCTGATTGTTTCTTTGATGTGTACAGTATGGCTGTGGATACCATCTTCATATGTTTCTGTAAGTATATCATTCTGTATGTTTCTGTAGGGGATCATGTTCTGTATGTTTCTGTCAGGATGCCATTATGTATGTTTCTAAAGGGTATCATACTCTGTATCTTTCTGTAAGTAAATCATTCTGTATGTTTCTGGTAGTAAATCATTCTGTATGTTTCTGTAGGGGATCATGTTCTGTATGTTTCTGTCAGGATACCATTATGTATGTTTCTAAAGGGTATCATACTCTGTATGTTTCTGTAGGGGAGATCATGTTTCTGTCAGGATGCCATTATGTATATTTCTATAAGATATCATTCTGTATGTTTCTAGAGAGCATCATACTCTATGTTTCTGTAAGTATATCATTCTGTATGTTTCTAGAGGGGACCTGTTTGTGTAAGTATATCATTCTATATGTTTCTGTAGGGGATCATATTCTGTATTTTTCTGTCAGGATACCATTATGTTTGTTTCTGTAGGTATATCATTCTGTATGTTTCGGTAGGTGTATCATTCTGTATGTTTCTGTAGGTATATCATTCTGTATGTTTCTGTAGGTATATAATTCTGTATGTTTCTAGAACAGTAGTTCTCAACCTCCCTAATGACCGCAACCCTTTAATATGGTTCTTCATGTTGTGGCGACCCACAACCATGCTGTTATTTTTGTTGCTACTTCATAACTTTAATGATTATGTGTTGTCCATTGGTTTAGATGACCCCTGTGAAAGGGTCATTCAACCCCCAGAGGGGTCGTGACCCACGGGTTGAGAAATGTTGTTCTAGAGGGTGTGGTACTCTATATGTTTCTATAGGGAATCATATTATATGTTTGTGTAAGTCTACCATTCTGTACATTTCTGTAATAATCAACAACAGTGATAATTAGAAACAATCAGCTTCCCAGAAAAACTCAATACTGAATGATAAAATGACTGTCTCAGCTAGTAAACCTTTATCAGCATACAGTAACAAAGACAGTCATCAAGTGCCCTGCCACCTGGCATGGGCGATCATGTCTCTCCACAATCTGCTGTCTTCAACAACATGTATCAGTTTATGTGCCGACACCCATCCAATGCATGATAACTCCTAGGGAGTTACGGTAACTTTTGTTGTGGATTTGAACCATGATACAATTACAATTAAAACATCACCTAAAACATAACTTAGCTCTTTGTAAAGAACAGAGCCCACATCTGATAGAATTGTCAGTCCATGCTTGAAGATTAAGGTCTTTAGACGTATGCTCTTGTATATTTCTGCATGTTTCTAATTTTATGTCCTGCCCTGTATGTTTCTCTAAGTATACTATTCTGTATATTTCTATAAGTATACTAGTCTATATGTTTCTGTAATTTAAAAGCAAATAGCTTGAATATTTAATTTTGAATCGACATGACAGCACTCAGGACATAAGAGAAAGCACACCATACTCATCTTCAGCAGCAAGCACAGAGTTCCAGTTCCAATGGTCCTAGTAACAATCTGACTGTATCTGTCTCACCTCACCTCTGGTCGCCACTCCTCACAGCACCCTTCTCCTCAGACAACAATGATCTATTTGTGCTTCCGCACTGTTCTAGATCGTCATGCATCAGTTCACCGCCAAGTGGTACAGAAGCAGCCAGTCTGTCTGCCTGTTCATTTCCAAACACACCTGATCTGGAGAAAATATCCAGAGGACTCTTAACTACCCAGGACCTGTGAAGTGATGCTTGCCACTCTGCACAGAGTATACCTGTCTTCATTTCTCACCATGCTCTGTGAGCCAGTTACAATTATGGCATCTGTGAAAGGCTGGTTCTCAAGACAGTGGAAGGCTAGAGTGACTGCCTCCACTTTCATTCTCAAACTAGATGTTGGAGAATCAGATGCCAGGCTTTGTTGCACTGGTGGTTGTCCATTTGCTTGTGCTATGAAGACAAGCCTCTCTACTGTCTCTTAAAACAGAGCCATATGTAAAGATAATCACATCATCTGGGCAAGAATTGACAAAAACTTGCTAGTCGTGCATCATTTTATGACCAAGTGGTGCATCATTTTATGACCAAGTGGTGCATCATTTTATGACCAAGTGGTGCATAACCTGTCATTCTAACACCTGTTCATTTCCCAACACACTGGCATATCCTGGAGAAGATATCCCGAGGATTTTAACTACCTGGGACTTATGAAGTGATGCTTGCCACTCTGCACAGGGCATACCTGTCGTCGCCATTCTCAACAAGCTTTGTGAGACAGTTACAGTCACGATAGATCTAATAAACTATGAAATGTTTGATATAAAACACATTAACAGGGGAATGAATGATGAAAGCACAAAAGCCTTTCATGATGAACATCTGTGGGCATGATCAAATGTTGCTTCTTCTTTCAGTGGAAGACTTGGAAAGAAATGACGGAAGTGCCGAGAGGCCTTACTACATGGGCGGTAGCAAGAACCTCAGGCGTCTTCTCTATAAGCCCAAGACTGCCACCTAGATGTGACCCATTTCTTCTCAATTATCGTCTGCCTCCCCAATTTCCAAATGTCAATTTTTTTTCCATTGTTTACTGTTCAGAATGACCAGTGTTTTCTTTGCGTTGAAAAGCTTCTTTTGTTCAGTTGTTTTAATGTGCTTTTTGACCACTCAATCCCTATAATCCCCAGTATATTAAAATGAAAAGAAAAAAAGTCATAAAATGCTGTAGGTGATAATTGCATGTGGAGTTCTCAAAAGCTTGATAGTGTAAGAGTAATCTTTGTCTGTTCAGTGTTCAAGATACTGCATTTATACTTTTTTTTTTCTTCTCAAGTAAATAAACACACAATTTATATTGTCTCTATCAGCAGTGATAATAAGTACATCAAAATAAACTGATATTTTTATTGTAAAGGACTAAACTTTAAGTAAAAGTTTTTTTTTTTTTTTTAACTTTCCATGGTTGTTGGGGCAGTGTTCTGAGTCACACCATGTAAGAGATTGGTTGTTGGGGCAGTGTTCTGAGTCACACGATGTAAGAGATTGGTTGTTGGGGCAGTGTTCTGAGTCACACCATGTAAGAGATTGGTTGTTGGGGCAGTGTTCTGAGTCACACCATGTAAGAGATTGGTTGTTGGGGCAGTGTTCTGAGTCACACGATGTAAGAGATTGGTTGTTGGGGCAGTGTTCTGAGTCAGACCATGTAAGAGACTGGTTGTAGGGGCAGTGTTCTGAGTCACACCATGTAAGAGATTGGTTGTAGGGGCAGTGTTCTGATTCACACCATGTAAGAGATTGGTTGTAGGGGCAGTGTTCTGAGTCACACCATGTAAGAGACTGGTTGTAGGGGCAGTGTTCTGAGTCACACCATGTAAGAGATTGGTTGTTGGGGCAGTGTTCTGAGTCACACCATGTAAGAGATTGGTTGTTGGGGCAGTGTTCTGAGTCAGACCATGTAAGAGACTGGTTGTTGGGGCAGTGTTCTGAGTCAGACCATGTAAGAGACTTTGACCCCTATCAGTTCATATCCTCAGTGCTAGTAGTGCAACCATCCTCCATTTATGGAGATGCAATGTTTTTTTAAGTTTTGTTTCTACAGAATCTGTTTATAAAGATTAATTTTTTCACCTTTACCATGACTTTATATTTTTAAACTTAATGATATATAAGAAAGCAATTAAACATCCCCTCTTAAAATTATGCTTTCTATTGTTGTATTACTATGACTGTACAGGTTTGAACCCTACACATAATCTCACTGCTAGCTGACAGCCGCTTGTCTTTATGTTTATTTTATGTTCCTTTGCTTGAAATGTTTGTGCCAGAATGTTTAGTTCATAGTTTTATTTCTTGTCTGCTAAAGCATCATTTCCTGATTAAGTGTGGTGAGAACATGGGAAAACTGTGGTCAGAACATGGGAAACTGTGGTCAGAACATGGGAAAACTGTGATCAGAACATGGGATAACCATGGTCAGAACTTGGGATCACCATTACAGTTGGTTTCTTTTTATAGTGTGAGTGTCAAAGTCACATCTATAACTTAACTTCACCAGAATATGAGCAGATTCACTAAAATTTGATACCCGTAACTTGAGTTTTCCTAGAACGTAAGCAAGTTCATAACTTAAATTTCACCAAATATGAGATATGAGCAATTCCATAATTTCACTTAATCAAAATAGCTACAGATCCATAACTTGAGCTCCAATAGTATCTTTGCTGATCTTTTAAGTCATTGTTTGGTAAAATATTTCAGATCTTCACCAAAATATTTGTTAATCTGTAAATCAGATTTCACTAAAAGATTTTCCATTACCCAAAGTATTTGCTGATCTTTTAAGTCAGACTTCACCAAACTTTGTGCTGATTTGTAAATCAGACGTCACCAAAATTAATATTTGTTGATCTTAGGTCAAATTTCACTAAAATAAATGTTGATCTGTAAATCAAGCTTTACCAAAATATTTGCTGATCTGTAAGTCAGACTTCACCAAAATATTTGCCTGATTTTTAAATGAGACTTCAACAAAATATTTGTTGATCTTAAGACAAGTTTCAGTGAACAAAATCTTTCTCGCAACCACCCTGAAAATGTAATTTTTTGGGTCCCCAATATCTGACTTGTCTGTGTCCTAGCAAAACTGAGAGAAAACTTACACGTGTGCTGTGCTCTTACTTTCAAATTATACAATACTAAAATAGGACTGAAAACTTAATTCAAATTTCATGAAAATATGATCAAATACATGTGTGAAATTTTACCAGAATATAAACAAATTTGTGATTCAAATTTCATGAAAATGTGACCAAACCCTTACCTGAAATTTCATAAAAATTTAACAAAACCCTTGTATGAAATTTCATGAAAATATAAACCAAACCCTTGAATGAAATTTCCTGAAAATATAACCAAAACCTTATATGGAATTTCGTGAAAATTGAACCAAACCCTAATATGAAATTTCCAGAAAATATGACCAAACCTGTATATTAAATTTCACAAAAATGTAAGTTAGTTAGTTAGTTAATTCAAGAATTGACATCACAGCACACGGGGCATTCCCATACATGCTCTGTCCTCATCTTCAGCAACCAGCGCAGAGTTCCAGTACTGATCGTACTGGTCACAATATGGTTTTAGGTTCGTCTCGCCTTTCCTCTGAGTGTAGCAAGTCGGCCAAACCCTCTGGTTACACTCAGGTAACAAAAATGTAAACAATTAATAACTCAAACTATACTAAAAAAAAATGACCAGATTTATAATTCAGATTCATAATTCAGATTCACCAAAATAGGATCAAATTGATTGTTTAAACTTCAGCAGAGTGTTTTCAGACCTATAAATCATTATTTTTCAAAATGTTAACTGTGATCTACATGTAGAGACACCTCGGACCCTGGAGTTTATCTCCTCACTCAACTTGCTGAGGTGATCACGTTGTAATGAGTTTATTCAACATTTACTGTTGTATAAAAAAAAATTGGGGGGGGGGGGGGGGGGGGGGGGGGGGGGGGTGGGGGGGGGGGGGGGGGGGCTGTTGGTATGTTCGCTTATCAGATTTTGATTTTTAGTTCTCCATTGTTGTAGTCACATCTTTCAATTTTGTTTCTCGCTTTGTGAAGAGTAGTTTCTCATTGTTGTATTCACATTTTTCATTTATGTTTAGTTCTCAGTTTTTGATCAGTATTTTCTCAGTGTTGTATTCACATCTTTGACTTATGTTTAGTTCTCGGTTTTTGTTGTTGTTGTGTATGTTTAGTTCCTCAGTGTTGTATTTTGTTCTCAGTTCAGGTACTAACATAACCACACCTTTAAAAAAAAAGGGGGAGGGGGTGTGGAGGGTGTGCATTAAGCGGGGAGGTATCCACAGTTTTATTCTTCCCGACCTCAGACAGCAGTGTAACACTTTGTGTAGCCATTATCAGTGCCCTTATTATAACTTTGTAGGAAGTTGAGCTTGGCTCCATTGGAGGGAAGAGAAAAATAGACCCACTCTACCCTGACGAGTATGTTGTAACAGGTGAATTAATAAGGGTTTTTAGGGCTCTATACATCCGATTCAGCAAACCCCTTATTTTCTCTATTTGTGGAATCGGATACTGTTGAGCCGAAAAACCCAGATATTGCAGTCTAAATGTCTTCTTCTTCGTTCACCAGCTGTGGGCTCCAGCGGAAAGTCCTGGTTGTTCGTCCATTTAGACTTTGGCTTTGTGCCAAGGCTTGAGTTTTGCGTGTGCACCTATTCACCTATTTTACTGACTTATTTGTGTGCAGTTGGTTGTTCCTTGTGTCTCGAGCAGATTCACTTGACTTTGAAGGAGCTCCCAGTTAGTCGAATCTTACGACATGATTGGGGGGGGGGGGGGGGGGGGGGGGGTTGTAGGCAGGGGGTCTATTCTTGTTTCTCCCACAATGGGGCCCCGGAGCACACACAGGGAAGCTTTGATGTAAATCATAACGTCATATCATCTGCCCATGTAGGATGAACACAGAAGAAGAAGAAGAACAGAGTATCTAACATAGGTCTTGTCTTGTTGAGTTGCCATCCCGAGTGCAGCTCTTGGAGTTGTAAAAATGGGCAGACCTTCTTGTACTAGTCCGGAGAGCAGAAACAATTATTACCTCAGTCACTTGAAAGTGACCGGAGTAGAATGTTGGATTTTTTAATTTTTTATTTATATTTTATTAACTGATACTCACCCTATCTCTTTCAGTGGAAGATTTGGAAAGAAACGATGGCAGTAAAGAAAGACCTTATTTCATGAGCAAAACGAAAAATCTTCAAAGGATTATGAAGTCCAGAAAATAGGGAGAGATAATCCGATTGGAGCGGAAGAATTCAGCTAATGCAGCAAGGGGTCAGGTTTAGATGAGATCATTGACATCATGTGTTAACTTTTTCAGTACTAGTCCTTTACTTTTTACTCCTTGTATTCTGAGAGGTTATCCTTTAAATAAGCCAGTATTTGAGTACAAAGAAAGTATTGAAAATAAAAACCTGGACAGAAGGGTTAAAAGTAATACTTTAGACCAGTCAATTAATATTACAGATATCTGTATGAAACAGAATCCAAAATGTGTACTGTCTTTGTACTATTTAATGAATGCATGCCAAGTTGCACAGTACTGAAAGAGTTAAGGATTATTTACTTGTTCTTGTATTCATTAATTTGTTAATTTACATAATGAGGACACAATAGATTGCACAATTTATTACCTGGCATTTTTCACTGTCTCATGAATTTCATAATTCATAAAATGTATGTCTGACTGTTTTATTTCCTTCTGGGATGCTACTGAGTTGACTACCCCTGTGACTTCAAGAGTTGCATCCAAGATGGCAAACCAGTGGGGGCAAATTCCAGATATGTTGTTCAACCTCTAAAGAAGCTATAATTAGGTCACCTGTAGCAGATATATCAAGTACTACCTAACAGGCCATTGCAGATAAGGGTACTCTTCTTAACTCTTTGAGTCCCAGAGGGTTTAGCATCACAGGCCCAGGGGGTAGTAAAGAAAGTAATAAAATCGGTGCATCATGCGTTTATTGGGCTTCTAGGTAAGAACATACGAACGTATGATGCGTTCCTTGGGACTCAAAGAGTTAATCTGTGTGAAAGTTTGCATGTCAGTCCTAGACTGACCTATTCCAGTGTGCATTTCTGGTCAACACCATCCATTTGTAGCCTGTCTTCTAGAGAATGTTGCTCCTAGTACCGGCCGCCTGACAGAAACTTGACCCCTCTCTATCTCTCTTGCCTCGTTCACTTTTCTGCCCAAGGTGTCTTCTATGTCCTGTCCGGATCTCCATATAGGTCAGACCCTGTCCCTGTGTGCCAGTACCATGCTCCCCATTACTGTTCTTTTGAATCCACAGTAGCACTTGATATGGCCAAAATATTTCAGTTTCCAGGACAGGTGATTTTGTTATGAGCCAATCTTCCATGATGTTCAGATCTTTTAGTGCATCTGTATTTGTTGTCTTCTTGGTCCGGGGTATTTTTGAGAATCTTTCTGTGGTATTTTGGCTCTAAAGCCTCTATTTTCTTCCATAACGATAATCAGTGACCCATCAATGACCCATCAGTGACCCATCAGTGACCCACACCCCTATGTTGCTACAAGAAAGATGCATGCGCATGCTCTCATGCATGACTTTTAAAAAAGCGAAGTACACCGTGAAAGTGACTACAATACCCAGTGTACCTTTTTTTGTTGTCCTTTAAATAGAACTACATTTGCTTTTTTTAATGACTAATTTTAGTGCTTGACGGACGTTTAATTTCTTTTAAACTAATGAAAGTTTAAGTGGTGTGTAGTTACAGTTGGCACCTCTCCTTCTTTCCTGTGATAGCCTTATATTGTGCTATAGGGAGGTATGGGACTCACAGCTCAAGATGATAGTGAGAGTGACCAGCAAGAGACGCTGGCGTTGAGAAAAGCCTTGGGATTTCAGGACCAATGTTGCCACTGCTTGCATTTAATGTGCTTTTGCTCAGACGCTCAGTTCTTAACCTGGATGCAATTATTTTCTCCTTTGACCAGTGAAAGTGCTTATGATATTATCACTGGAGTTAATTTTATGTTATTTTATTTGAAAAGTTTTAAACTGTCGCGGAGGGGAAAATGTAAACAGCCATTTTTTCCATGTTTTCAGACGTATTGGACGTATGCGATTAGACTTATAATTTATAGACCAATCAGCACTTGGTGGGTTATGTGGTCAACATCACGCTGACCGCCTTTACTTCCCAAGACTTTACCTGGTACCCATTTAAGGCTGGGTCGACCTGGCAGCCCAGGTGATTTTTGAAGCCCCAAAAAAAAAAAAGTCTGGCTGTGTCAGGACCTAAACTCACGACCTTCCGATCCGCATCAAGCGTCTAGCTGCTACACTACAGCGGCCCCAAGGAAAAATGTGTTCTCGTTGCTCATTGTGTTTGCATCTTCTGTTTGATGCTTGTTTATGTGATTCAGCTGGTGCCTTTTGTTTCCTGGTTGAACTTTTTCTATACCAAACAATGCACTATCCGTGATCGGGTATCATTCACATTTACCATTCAGCATGTTATCTATGTTTTTACATCTTATATTTAGTGAGCGACTCCAAAAAACTGACAGCACTTTTGTTGCCTACAGGGATTGTATATTTAACCCCTCTGGAAGTACATGTTAAGTACTACCATGCATTACTCCCTTGGACATAGGTAGAACCTTGTGGGGCTGAAAGAGTTAAGGTAAAGAACAGCTAAGCTATGGGACCTGTATTAATCTATTGGCTAGAGACCAACCAGGGTTATTCAGCTGGCATCCCATGGTCCAAAACTGGCCCGCAGAGGCCTAATGAGTGGCCCACGGATCATCGCCAGTGGTACTGTATTGATGATCTTTGTACACTGGAGCTCAGGCCTCTGGTCCACGACGATCACCATTTCCCAACATTTGGACCTCTGAGTCCACTTTGTTGAATGACCCTGGGCTAGATGCTTGCCTACCAGCTCAGAGATCTTGAGGTGGATTCTATTCTCAGTTGATTAATTGAGCGTGGCTTCTACATCCACCAAGCCTACAATGGGTTCTGTGGTAATGTCCTAGGAAATAAAGGCAATTTGTTAAATAAAGTGGACACTTGTAAGGGTAGAATGAGTTCAAGTAAAGAGGAAAGGCAAGGTGGTGATATCATCAAACTGCTACAGACCCCACTGGGATTGGGACTTTGCACTGACTGCTGAAGATAAGGACAGAGTGATTACGGGACTATCTTGAGTGCTGTGAAGTTGGCTCTTAGCTCCACTCAGCTCAATAGTTAAAGCGGCAGCTGCATGGAAGTTTTTTTAATACCTCAAGGACCTTTCTCTTGCATTTGTATCCACTATGAGCCATAAACTGGGGCGTAAGCTGGATGTCTCCGGTTTTCTGAAGGCTTAGTTATTAGGTTTTCTGGTTATGGCATTACCTAGGATTCAGAGTTAAATTCTTGTTTTTTTTTTATTGTGTAGCAGAAGAATGTTCAGTTGTAATCAGACATGATTGGTGTACAAGGAATGTTTTTTCTTTCTTTTTTTTTAATGCAATCCTGAATGATTGTGGTAAAGCAGGGATATTCAATCTTTGACATAAAGTAATGGTTGTGATGATCAGTGTAATCCTGCACATGCAGTCACCAATTCTGCACATGCAGTCACCAATCCTCACATGCAGTCACCAATCCTGCTTCTTCTTCTTCTCAGTGCTTACCAGCTGTTTATTGGTCCACTTCTGGACTCACCTTTTTTCCACGATGAGTTTTGTTTGCATGTCCATTTTACAGATATAGCTTATTTGTCTGCAGACTATTGGTTCCTCAACTTTCAGGCAGGTGCATTCAAAGATAACACAGATGTTATCTGCTAAGGCCAAACCCCTAGTCAAGAATCTGTTTCTAGGACGACTGCGGAGAGATCTTGACCAGTGTAAAGTCTGGTCTGAAAGTAGGTCGTATGTCACTGACACAAAATGAAGCAGTCAGATCGAGATGTTCTGGAAAGATTATGAATGAGAAAAGAATTACTGAAATCAAAAAAGAGATAACTGAAATATTTTGGCAGCATTTAATGATATAATACTCTTGAAACCAAATTGGAGAGAAAAGTCGAGAGCAAGAAATAGACAACAATACAAGTGGGAGGACACTCTTAAGACATGGACACACAGCAGTCTGAAGAGTGTACTACTAAGACAAGATACAAGAGAATGTTGAGATACGTTGCAGCCAACCTTTAGTGTGGAGACAGCAAATGATTGAGTCTAGTGCAGTTACCACATGTGGTTCACCAGCAGTTCTACATCCCAGGCGGATGTTTGTGCCTTGCTGCAGATTGATTAAACAGGACGTAGTTTAATCCGTCATAAGAGAGTGATACACTTAAAAGTTTTTTAACCTGTCATTAAGGAATGTTACACTAGAAGATTAGTCTGTTTTTTTCTTCTTCTTCATCTTTTGCATTCATCTGAAGACAAAATTATCTTGTGCCCCTTTACAGCATGGCTGCGATATTTGTGCCTCACGACTAACTTCTCAGCCATTTTTTGCCTGAGCTAGCCTTCCCTGGAAAATCATTCAGTATGTCATAAACAAATGCTATACTAGTAGGTTGTTCATTCAGTATGTCATAAACAAATGCTATACCAGTAGGTTGTTCATTCTGTATGTCATAAACAAATGCTATACCAGTAGGTTGTTCATTCTGTATGTCATAAACAAATGCTATACCAGTAGGTTGTTCATTCAGTATGTCATAAACAAATGCTATACCAGTAGGTTGTTCATTCTGTATGTCATAAACAAATGCTATACCAGTAGGTTGTTCATTCTGTATGTCATAAACAAATGCTATACCAGTAGGTTGTTCATTAGTATGTCATAAAAACAAAATGCTATACCAGTAGGTTGTTCATTCAGTATGTCATAAACAAATGCTATACCAGTAGGTTGTTCATTCTGTATGTCATAAACAAATTCTATACCAGTAGGTTGTTCATTCTGTATGTCATAAGCAAATGCTATACCAGTAGGTTGTTCATTCAGTATGTCATAAACAAATGCTATACCAGTAGGTTGTTCATTCTGTATGTCATAAACAAATGCTATACCAGTAGGTTGTTCATTCTGTCTGTTATAAACAAATGCTATACTAGTAGGTTGTTCATTCAGTATGTCATAAACAAATGCTATACCAGTAGGTTGTTCATTCTGTCTGTTATAAACAAATGCTATACTAGTAGGTTGTTCATTCAGTATGTCATAAACAAATGCTATACCAGTAGGTT